GCTGCGAGCCGGGCTGCCGCTGCTGCGCGACATGAGCGAGGTGAGCCGCCGCAGCCCCGGGGGCGGCGTGTGGGGAGCGCTCGGCCGTGAACGTGACCTTCCCTTTGGGAGAGCGGGTCGGGAGCCCGGTGAGCCCCCTCTGTGCTCCCGGTGAGCCTCAGAGGGGTCCTGGGCTGGGTGGGGAGTCTGAAGCGTGTAGCTTCTGTTAAACCCTGCCGTCTGATAAGCATCCCTCCACAGGTGCATACGCTGCTTCAGAGCATAAGGCAAGGTGGTGGCTTGCCTTTTGAAGGACCATATGCACCACTGGAGAATAATTTGTTAAGTAAACCTAATAATCTAAATATACATTTAATGCTTTCCTGTGCAGAAAGAAGGATTTAGTAAGTTGTGCTAGGGTTATCTGCTAGAGCTCATGGAAAAAAATGCCCTGTTTGTAGTTGGATGCTGATGTAAACTTTATAAATAGTGTCCTGGGAAGGATTACAATTAAGAAAAAAATGTAAATAGTGCCAAACACATAAGGATGACTTGAACTCTCATAAAGGAATAAGCTGAGAATTTTCACTTGTGCTCTGTGCGTTGTTTCTTTTTTCTTTTCTTTTTCTGGTGGAAAAGTTATCTGGGGCACAGTAGAATTTTTGTGAACAGTGTTGTCATGCATGATGACTACCTGACAGCATAGTCAATCAACTGCCGGGCAGGTTCAGCTGGTAGATCTCACAATCTCTAGTGCAGCTCTTCCTTTAGGAATCAGTAGAGATGCCTGTAACTGTGCCTTACCCAGCACCTGTTATTCAGATGCTATTTCCTCTTCTAAAAGACCTGCTGCTTTGTTAATGAATGGGTATTCCTTTCTTAGTAGTGAGAGTAAAATTAAGAGCAATACCAAAGAAGTTCTGACTAGTTGTTGTGCAGGTGTTAAGATCAGCTGTATTTTTAGATGGGGTGTAAACTTGGACAAAAAGCGGTGTAGCAGCACGGTCTCTGGTATGGGGATTTATAAGGACAAGCTTACATCTTGGCTTGCAGGTCAGGCCAGATGGGGAGAGCAGGGGAAATTGTCACTGTGGGTTTTTGCTGCTTTGTGGGTTTTTGCTGCTTGCAGGGATCAGGCTGCCTAGGTGTAGTGCACCAGGCTGGCTGTGACCTCTCCTTGGCTGCTGTCTGTGTTTTATGAACTGGATAGAGTGCATGCATTATGGGGTTGTTTTTTGCAGTCCCTGCCCCTTTGACCCCCAAGCTAACTGAAGTATTGTGTGAGATGAAACACTGCTGTTCTGCTCCTTAAGATAGCATTCGGGGAAAATCTTCTAATGAGGAGTAATGAATAGCTGATATTGCTGTACTTACTGTAACTGTGCAAACCACTCTTTAGCCTTGTACTGGGTTGCATTTGCTCAGCAATTACCCCTTCATGGTTTGAAATGGGTTGCTTGTCTTTTGGATTTTTAAAAGTCCTGATGAACATCAAGGTCATTCCTAATAGCAGCATAGGGGTTCTCTATTTGCAATATGTTTCCCTGCGCCTCAGAACACTGTACCTAGCAAACCCTCAGAGCTGGAAAATGTCTGTATCTCTGGCATAGCACTAAGCCCTGTATGTATGACAGTTAGCACTGCGCTTGGTGTCTTCAGTGCTGCTGTCATTCAGCTGATGGTATCAGAGAGTGTATCACTCACAGCTCCAGTGAAGGAAAGCTTCCTTACTGTTACCTGCCTGTCAGCAATGCTCAAAAGACTATTCTTTTCCCAAAAGGCAGATGAAAGCAAGCGGACCTCCCCAAGCCACCTCACTGAAAAATACTGTTAAAAAAGGAGGCAAAAAAGATTAGCAGAAAGCAAGCTCCTTAAACATCTGTTTGCAGTATTTGGATGAGGACGTTGATGTTTTCCGCTTGTAATGCTGTAACTGAAAAATATTTGTTTTCTTTGTTTTAGTCTGCTAGAAAATGTGAGGGCAGTGTGGTTGACAAGAGGCTCAACTACAGCCATTAAAAGATTATCCCAATAGAATGGTGTTGGGAGGGTGGGAAGGTTTTTTTGTTTCATATTAACGCTTGTCAGGATTTGAGTGGAGCTGGAAATGTTGTTGCGGAAATCTCTGAAGAGAGCTTTCATATCCGTCAAGTTCTTTGCTGAGACTTCACATGGATTCTTATTTTACTGCTCCAAGCCAAATTAACTTACTACTTGTGTATAGGCAGTGATTACCAGTCTGGTGGTGGAGAAAGCTGGACAGAAGCAGCCATTCTTCTGACTGTAATACTTATATATTTTGTAGCAGCTAACTTGTCTTTATCCTGCCTGAAAAAAAATATTTTCTACAGCAAACCTCTACACTTCTTCCTCTGCAAGATTTGCCTGAAAATGTGTTTAAGATGCCCTGTCTCTGGGTGAAAGTCTGGCCATGTAACTAGTCACAGGGAGCTTGAGGTATAAAACTTTACCTGGTACCACTGCCAAACATCATTAGTGCTTTCTGCAGCTTGATTTCAGTGCAGATATGTCACTTAGCTGTATGGGGAACTTCTCAATAAAGTCACTGTATACCAAAATGAAATTTTAGATGTCAAAGTAGCCTTGAAAAATCTGTCCTCAAATAACTAAGGAGCCTTTTCTTTAGGTCTGTAGGTGTTTTCTATTATTTTTATGAGTCTACAGAGAAAAGCCATGCTGAAAAATATCAGCTACTGTCAGTGAGCACCCATGAGATGCAGCTCTTGCATTAAAGATCTCTGGTCACATAGGATAAACTGGGGGAAGTAATGCTGGCTAATGGGCTCATAGACCAATGCCAAATCACTGCTCACAGTCAGTAGTTTAGCTAGTGAGCCTCTAGGCTTGCAACTGGCATAAACTTGATACACCACAGGGAATCCTGTCATCGGTCATTTAATTATCTGACGTTGTGGTTGATGTCAGGTCATGGTGACAGTAGGGCACAAAGGTTCACAAGAAATGTTTCGGCACACATACATTTTTACAATGTTCACTGCCCCTTTTGCCTCTTGTGTTGTATGATTCTGGCTGTCATCAGGAATTGGGTCTGGACTTGGGAAGGAGTGTAGTGAAATAATATGGTGTTGCATCGCTGGTTCAGGGATGAAGCACATGTGTAAGGAGTTGGACCTTAAAATAGCATTAGCATAGGTTGCCTTGTTGGATGAATTTATTTACTTTTGGTCTTAAGAATCAGAGTGGTACTGCTGGTGTAGGGAAGGAGTTGAGCTTTAACAGGCACCTGATTTTGAGAGAGCCACCTAATCAGCCCACATGCCTGAGGCACCTGCAACTTAAGAGCTTGCATTGGAAGTTGGAAGAGTCTTACACAATGTGAGTGAAGTGCTGTGCTGATTGCCAGGGTGCTGATGCGCACCCTTTAAAAGAGAGTTTAAGCCAGCAGCTTTGTATATGTGAAGAGCAGCCTAGCTACCAGACAGTAGCAAGAATATTCTATCTTTCCTTTGAAATAGGTGTCAAGCAACCAGGCATGTGAAATTCGTAAGATGCGAGAGAGCTGTTAGGGGTTTGATTCCACAGTGTGCTTAGGTCTCTTAGCTGGGGACCTGATCTCTGTGTGAATATGGAGTTTTGGTCAGGCTTTGAATACAAAGAACACCAGGTCTTGTTTCTTGGAGCTACAGCAAGTTTTCCCTTTGCCCATATGTTGCCTCTGGGCTCTTGGATCCTGCTGCAACTGCTGTGTTGTGTCCACCTTCTGAAGGATCATGAATGTTGCTCATGTGCCCTGTAATAGGTCTGTAGAGAGCACATTCCATGTGGGTTATACTCATTCAGTCAGCTTTCTACTGCAGCCTGGAGTTCTGAATCTTTGTTCTGGAGTCACCTTCAGTGGGAGGTACCTAGGTAGTCAACTCTGTAAAGGTGGAAGCTCCACTGGGAAGTTGAAATAATATAACAAAGATGTTTTTCTGAAAATTGAGCTTCACCAGTCCTTAAGGTGTGTGTGCAGGACACCAGCCATCAAGGCAGCCTCTGCTGTGGCTGTTTTCAAAACCAGTAGTACCACCTGGCTTGGTTGTTTGGGCATACCCCTAAGCTGGCAGAGTAACAGCTTGTGTCCTTTTCCCTTGAGGTTGAGGGGAGAACCTGGAACATGTCTCTATCGCTCTGAATGTGTGTGCCCAACAGGAGCCTGTTGGAGAAGGAGAGGTACATGTCAGTGTGAAACATTAGATATATGTGAAGGCTTCTCTCTGAAATGTATCTGTAGCTACGGTAGTACCGCTGCTTTAGGTAGTTACGTGGGAAAAGTGGTGTTCCTTCATGGGTTGCTCTCCTGAACTCTGTTGAAGCCATACCACTGATATTGTATTTAGGGCCTTAGAACCAGATGTATTTAAACAGTGAAGTGAGGATTGTACACCAATAACCCTGATGGCACTAAATCAAAAAGCTGGTGTTTGTTGGGGAAACACATGCCATTTCTGTTTGGAGGAGCTCCACTTCTCCAGTGTGGTGCTTGCAATTCTTGGGGAGGGGGGGGATGTCTGAGCCAGCCAGTCATATTGGGTGGTGGCTGGGCCCTTTGGATGCAGTTTTCAGGTACTGCCATGGCCCCAAGTGTTAACTATTGGCTTCACAGAGGTTGTACCCACAGTAAGTCCAAAATTGTATAGATCTAAAAAGTGCAGCAAGAACATGGCAGGGTGGAGGAGGAATTTTTGCAGCTGTTACAGGACGGGGGTGGGACAGATAAGGCACATGAACATCAGTTTTTAATTTTAGCCCACATCTATTTATTAGCTGAGTGGTAAATTGCAGCTCAAAAGAGGAGGAGAAAAGGAGAATAATAAGTTTTAGATTGGTCACTTTGCCTATTCCTTTCATCAGCGTGGTTTCAGTGGGATCAAGCATCTTCTAAAACAGCATTTAGAAGTGATGTTGGAAATTGATTTAATTTGGTGAAACTGGCAGATGTACTATTTAGAAGTGCGCAGGCTTTCTTGCAATGTTTAGAATGCCAAAAGATGCAAACACCACAACACTTTAATAAAAGATAGTTAGCTTTAATCGTATGCTTCAGATGTTATGTTTCCATGCAAAAGAGTAACTTAAAGCAAAACTCCTGCATTTATAAAATGTGAAAACTCCAGCCTTCATA